AGGAAATGCCCCTACCCCTACAGTAGGACACTGTGGGATAGAGTTGGGGGGGGGGGGGTGACTCAGATATCTTGGTAGGAGTCCTCCCACTTCATGGACTTTTCAGGGCTCACCAATTTCAAAAACAGCCCCTTAGCACTGAGACCCATGCATTTGATGAGCTTCACCTGCCTGTCTCTCCAAGGGACCCTGAGGAAGCTCACCTGGGCAGGGATGGAGACTCCCCTCCCCCAGACCTGGCGCTTTCTGTGGCCCAGCCTCACTTCTGTTCCTGTCTTCCTGGTGCTCCCCACCCACCACCTCTAAGTCTCTGGCCCTATCTCACCTCAATTTTATTAGTAAATCCTCCCTTTCTCTCACTTTGCCTGGAATGAGTTAATGAGGATATGATGAAAGGAGTTAATTCTAAAAGGAGTTAATGAGGATATTTTATTTCTCATTAGGCCTGCCTCTTCATTTCCATTCGGTCTGTTGCTGCTGATTTCTATTAACTCCACTTCATTTCCGTGTGATAGGAACAATTAGATGGGCCTGTGGTGTGATTTCCAAGGGAGCATGGTCACACCATAGCTCCTGATACTAGATATTAGTCAGTCATAAAACCCTCTTGTGCTGTAGTAACTTTTCCTGCATCCTTTTATTTTTGAAAAATAGTTTAAAATAGATATCCTGTATTTAATACTTGCCCTCTGCTGGGCATTGTAGACCACAGTTGGAAAGGTGGGATTAGAGTTGAGAGGAAAATGTGGTTAGAGTATGGATTTGGGCACCGAGACCAGGGTTGAGTTTCCCAGACAGTTCCTGAGCCCGTGGTGGAATTCAGGAGAACTGAACGAATTCACAAGAGGAGGATCTGTGACACTCGGAGGACAGCCAAGGACAGATGCCTCGGCAACATCAACATCTTGGTGAGAAGAGAGGACTCAGGAGAGAAACCGCACAAGGGAAGTGGTGGTGATGGGAAGACATCCCTAAGGAAAGTGCTTCAAAAAAGGGGTGGCCCAAGCATTTCAAAGGGAGAGAATGAGAGTGACAAGACTGGACTCACCTGAAAGCCCAACTGCGGGGATTCACGCTAGGATGTCAGGAGGTAGCTGGAAGGCGAGGGGGATTCGGGGAGACAGTGGACTGAACTTCATTCCCAAATAGACAGCAGCACTTTCCAGTTCCAGCATTTACTTGCAATCTGATTCATCTTGGTTGAATTAAATAGAATTCATGCCAACTTAGTAGGAATAAGTGTTCTTCGCTGGCCTTTCTTGTTGTGTTATTAAAGATGTTGCAGAAAATGCATGGAATTGGAGTCAGAGGAACTAGGTGAGGGTCCAGGGTCCTTTATTTGCTGACTCTGATCTGGGACAGAACATTTGTCAAATCCAGCTTCTGTGTGTGTGTGTGTGTGTGTGTGTGTGTGTGTGTGAAGTAATAGTGATATCTCCCACAGTTGTGAGGTTCAGAGAAGACATATGTGAATAGCCTTTGAAAACTATAGAGAATCATGCCAGTGCATGGTACATAAAATATCATTGTCATACCTGTAAGCTAAGGCTCAGGAATGATCCCAATATGTGGGGAGCCGATATAGGGTTAAGCCTCGGACTGACCTGTTGGCAAAGTCACAAACAAGTCCCAGCTTAGAGGGCACAGTCCTCTTAAGCATAATTAGGTTTGACCTTATAACGCTCCCTAGATGTTACCTGGGAAGCTAATGGGCTGAGGGAAGTGCAACAAGAACAAAAACAAGTGAAACTCACAAGAACAGTGTAAACAAGTGAAACTCACAAGAACAGTGTAACTTGGGTAACCACTACCTTGTTTACCTCTGACTATAAAAATAAAGGCTCAATTTACCTCGGGATCTTTCTCTGTGGCCTCAGCCAGGCACAGGAAGATGCACGGAGACTAGAGAGAGCTAGAGAGTTCAGAATGCTGTCTCCCTGTAAAACATTCTTCGCCGACTCCGTCCACACCTTTGGGAACTCCTGGACCGCTGGGACTGGACCCCGGCACCAATAGTATATTTTGGTGGACTGATGGAATATGTCAGGAAAGATTATATTTGGCTGAAAAAAACCCACAAAAAAACAAAACAAACAAAAAAACCCAGAAGACTCAACTATAATAACTTAAACACATAGGAGTTTATTTTTGTCACCTAACAAGAAGTCGGAGGAAGGTACAGCTCTTTACAGATGCCACCGAGGACTTTCCTGCTCCACCATCCTTGTGAGTGGCTTTTGTCCCCAAGGTTGCAAGGTGGCTGCTGTATCTCCAGGCATCATACCTCTATTCCAAAAGAGAAGTAGTAGGAGAAGGACAATTAAGGAATGTCAAAGTGTTGAAGGGGCATGCTGTCTGAATCTGACTTTTTCTTAAAGAGTTTTGTGGCAGCTGACTCCTGCCTTTTGCACAACAAACTCACCTGGCCAGAACTGGGTTTCATAGCTGTCCCCAGTTATAAGGGGGCCTGGGACGGTGGAGATTGTAGACTTCCAGTATTTTTATTGAAGAAGACAAGGTTGAAGAGGTTGGTCGATAGCTTTTAGAAGCCAACTTGCAATGCCTACCACAGAGCAGAACTTACCTTGCCAACGGAACCCTGATGCGAGGAAGGGGAAAGACACGGCAGTGGGTATAAAGCTCAGGAGGCGACCTGGCACTGACCACGCAGCAGGGCTCCGGCCCTCTGTGGCTTGGATCAAAACATCTTGGCTGTCCCCCCACCAAGAGGCCCAGTCCCCAAGACCTGGCCCCTTCTGGCAATCGGCCCTAACCAGCTGCTGCCGAAGGGGTAAACACATTCCAAGTCCGTGAGTCCCTGCTGCATTGTAACTGTGGTTGAGGCACACACACCCACCCCATCTGGGCTAACGGAAAGTTCACTGGAGCTGTGATGGCTTAGTGATGATTTGCAGTTATCTGTGCTCTTTCTACTGATGGGGAGTTGAATACCTACACACTTAGGTTATCTCACTGCACAAGCGATTTGCATCTTGTGCATCATTTTTATGTTCGTTCTCCAATTCCTGGGAACCATGAAGGCTAAAGCATTACATTCTCTTTTTCCGTATTCTGGAAGGAGGACCCTTCAACCAAGCCATTTCCCTAAGACCCTTGAGCTCAGGGGAGAAACAGAAACTATCAGAATCCAGACCTGGTCACCCAGAAAACCCTACATGGGTCCTCACCCGGGGGGGTGTGCTTCCTGGGACTGTGGGGGAAACAAGATCAAACACTCACCCTGAGGAAGGTGCAGGCTTGGAGCAGACAGTCGCTCCTGACCAAGGCAACTCCAGTGCAGCCCAGGAGATGGGTCACAATCACATTTAAGAAAAAAAAAAAAATTAAAGGCGATTTTAGAAAGTATGAATAAGAGCTATTGTAAACGGCTCACACTCTGTATATAAGCAGTGAAGTAAGATGAATTGACTGGCACTGAGTTGGAAAAGCTATACAGAGGCAGGGAGTGTGGAACATAATTTTATAAAAATAAACCTTTTTTTTTTCTTCTTTTACATACACACTCCCAAAGAAGAAATGGAAAAGTTGTTAGGGTGTGGACCCGGGCTTCTAATTAGCTGTTCTGTTCTGCCTGATTTGTCTCTTTTCTTGCCCTGGCACCTTCCTCGGACTTACTGTCCTACACCGGGCCCTGTGGGATGGAGAGGGCAACCCCCCAGACCGGACCCCGCAGCAGGCTCAGAGCAGGTCTTTGCGCCAGATGCCCAGGGGAAGAGCCGGCAGAAACCTACTGGCCAGGTCGCCACTTTTGCCTCCTTGACCCTAACATGTTTCCAAAACAGAGGGAGCCCTGCGAAGGCTCCTTGCCAGAGTAGCAAACAGCTACCCTCATTGTCTGCCTCGCCCCTGCCGGCTGCCCTCCTCCCCCCTCCCCCCCACCCCTCCTTTCTGTCTGAAAGTGTGAAAATTACAAATCCCAAGGAACCGCAATCAGAACTCTACCTAGGGAAAATTCAGCGTATCCTGGCCATAAATATCCCGCTCCAAGACGCCTGACGTCAGAGCGGGGCGGGCGGGGGAGGGAGGCCGGCCGGGAGGGGAGGCGGTGGTTTCTCCGGACGCGGCGGAGTCCGGGCGAGGAGCGGAGAGCGGCGAGCGCGCCGCGGGGTCCGGGCTGCGGAGCGGCGCCCGCGCGGGGTCCTCGGAGTAAGTGCCGGCCGGGCTCGCGTCCCTCCCGGGGTGGGGGCCGGGCGGGGCGGCTTTCTGCCGGCTCTTCCCCCTCTCGCCCCTGCTTGATTCCCTGTGCGGGGAGCGGGCTGGAGGCAGAGCTCCACAGGCTGCTGTTTTGTTTCTCCAAAGTGCTGCTGAGTGGGCTCCCGGGGCCTGCGTGCGCGGCCGTGTGCGTGTGTCTGTCTGTCGGTATCAGCACATCTGGACACAGAGAGTGTCTTTGGAAAACTTTTAAAAATGTGTTTTCGTGGCTTTCAAATTGGTTTCCTTGTTGTCACAAGTGGACACGCATAGCCGGTGCCCCCCCCAAACTGAGAACTTTTTTGGTGGTGGCTTGTCCTGGGTCGGTCTGTGCCTTCACTGGGGGTTTAACTCTTCAGGAGCCCAGCTCCCCCCAGCAAGCCTGGCCTTGGCCGCAGGCAGGGCAGGGGGGCGGCCGTCCTGGCTCCCAGCAGCCATGGGCAGTGGGACTTGGAGCAAAGAAAGGAGCATCTCAGGAAAGGGGTCCCCACGCTGGGGGCCTCAGCACCTGTGGCCCTGAATGCCCAGGCCCTGGGACTTTGACTTAAGCAGAAGGAGGATCTGGTCAGGAGGCAGGTAATTTAAGGAAGAGGAGGAGGAGGAGGAGGAGGAGGAGGAGGAGGAGGAGGTGGCGGCGGCCAGGACACTGCGGCTCTGTGTCCAGCCTGCCCCAGGAGTGGGATGAATGTGTCTGCCACATGTGCCCGCAGTGGGGGACGTGCCGGGTTCTCTGGGAGCACCGCGGTGCCCCAAACAAGATGCAAGCTCATAACATAAAGAGACGTGTCTGAGCTGTGGGGTGGAGGGAGGGGGCGGTGGGGGAAAGGGAGAGAGATTTTTATCAAAATTGAACACAGATTGCTGAGGTCTGGGCTTGGTTTAACTCTTGCCTCCCTGCTCTGGCCACTTCTGCACCGTTCCGTTCTGTGGTGGGTTTACAAAGCTCCCGGGAAGGTGGGCAGGAAAACCGTGCCTCTCTAGGAAGGAGGCCCTGGAGGGTTTCCTTGAAGCTGACATGGGAATGAAAGCAACTTCCCATTTTTGAAAAGCTTAAGGGTTTGTGTTTTCCCCCATCTGAGTAGCGTGTCAGTTTCTTGGATTTCTCTGAAAAGCCCGCCGATGGAGGCAATGGGTTTTCCCCGGAACGCAGAGGGGGAATTGTGTTGTCCTGAGAGTGGGAGGCGAGGGGGCCAAGGCTGAGTGGACCCAGCAGCCCTTGGATTGCCCAATGCAGGCCCTGGATGTCAATAGCTGGTTCCACAGACCAGTGACCACAAAGAGAGCCCTTCCAGCTTTGCCCTCGCCTGGGCTCTGGTTTTGTATTTTGCAATAGAGCCAACCTACAATGTTTGGGTGGGAGGAACTTTACTGGACTCTTCCTCTGCCCTAGAAAAATGAAGGGACGGGGAGGAAATTTGGACCCACAGGAAGTTGGGAGATTTGGGAAGGATTTTAGAAATTATACAAATCGATCCCTAGGGAAACACGATAATAGACTGAGCAGACGGCAGTGTCAGAAATAGAGTCCTTTAGCTTGAGGAGTCCATCTTCCACCTACGTGTGATGAAGAAAGCGGTGGAAAGGGGTGTGGAAGAGGGGTGGCTGGGGTCCCCGGAGAAGCATGGGCAGGACATGCTCACACTTCGGAGTGCCTGGGGATGGTCGCGGCCTGGGGCATGGAGGCATAAACAGACGTTTCTCCTCCGTGCTGGGAGCTGCACTCCTTCCTTGAAAAGCAACAACTGTGCTATGATGTCATGCCGCCTGGTGAGTTGCACGCTCCGGTGCCTACTCCTAGCCGAGTTTTCGGAGCTTGTCCTCCAGCTCCGGGGATGCTGAGGGAATACTCGTGCCCCCATCAGGACGAAGAGAGGAGAGAAACTTCTCCTGGGCGCTGGAGCTGAGAAGAGAGCCAGGCAATCAGGAAGGGAGGATGTGAGGGCAGGACCAGTAGGAGTAAGAAGGCCTGTGAATGATTTTTTTGGGGGGCGGGGGGCGGTAAGGGGGCGTGTGGGTGAGATTGAGAGACTACAGCTTTCTATGGGAACATGGTCTCTCCCCAGTCTTCCTTTCCAACTTCCTGCCCCCAAAGTTTTGGACACTAGACAGGTTAGACCAGCCTTGGGCAAACTACGGCCCTCGGGCCGGATCCGGCCCGTTTGAAATGAATAAAACTAAAAAAAAAAAAAAGACCGTACCCTTTTATGTAATGATGTTTACTTTGAATTTATATTAGTTCACACAAACACTCCATCCATGCTTTTGTCCCGGCCCTTCGGTCCAGTTTAAGAACCCATTGTGGCCCTCGAGTCAAAAAGTTTGCCCACCCCTGGGTTAGACTCTCTCCCTCATTTAAGAGCCTTTGACCCAGGGGAGAAGGAAAGGGCAGGCCGCAGCGCTCTGCGCTGGCGTGTGCTGTGCAAAGATGACCCATGAGGCAGAGGCTTGTGTCTTTGATTTCAGTGGCGCCAATGGGAAGACCAATGTTAAATGTTCCCGCTCATTCCCACTATTTTCAAATAGAAGGCTGAATACCAGGAACAGAGGGACCCCTTGGAAGTGACGCCCAGAAATACCCTGGTCCCAACAGCACAGAGTCCTCAGCAAGAGAACTGGGCTTCGATTCTTTCTTCATGAAAGTTTCTCTGAGAGTCAGTGCCATCCTGACCCCTCCAGGCTTGCCCTGAGCCATTTCACCAACTTGAGACCTGGGAGGAATTCCTAGGCCACTGATGCTTGGGCCGATAGTGGAGCCTTCTCCTCCTTCCTTCTATCAGCTCAAGATCTGGCCGGCTCGCCAGTCATCCCTGAGGTCAGAATACTTAGGGCGCATTCTCAGACTCTCCTGATGTTCCAAAGGGCAAGCACACCGGCTGACAAACAACTTGGACGCTGTCCTTGGCTTTGCTAGCAGCCGACTCTCTGGATCTCCATGGTATGGCCACCAGAGTCTATGGTCAGGGACCCTGTGTCCTTCAGGTCTGGAGCAGGATAGAGCGCAGGCTTCCGAGCACTGCCCAGGAGGGGATTCGTCACCTGGGACACCCTACCTATTCCTGCATCCTCACCTGGAAAAAGATAATGAGGATAATATTTACCTCACAAGGTTATCACAAAAATGATATTTATGCAAAAGGACAGAAACAGAGCTAGTGATGTTGTAGACCCTTCATAAAGGCCCTGTCATAATTTCACGTTCCCATTTTCAGCCATCAGGAGCCTGCGTAGTTTGGAAAGGACCTCCCCCCAAATCTGGCTGCATGTCTTCCATTATTGAAGGCCAATGGGTGGAGTTGCTAGGGTCAGGTGACCTTTACTGGCTCCCTGGAGAAAAGGTGGCTGGTGGGGATTACCCAGGAGCACATGCCTGGCCCATCATCCTGAGGGTGGGGGGAGGCGCCAGGCATCCTGGGCATCTGGCCTGGACACCACTCCTGTGTGAGCTCCCTCCAGAGGCAGAGGGCACAGAGCAGGCTGGAGTGTAAGGTGCGGGTGGGAGGTGGCAAGGTGGGGGTGGGGCACAAGATCAAGAACCTCGGGAGTCCTTTTTTCTTTTGACTTTTAACCTTTGTATCATTCTTTTTTTAAAAAAAAAATGTTTTTCAACTATAGTTTACCTTCAATATTATTTTGTATTAGTACAGCATAGTGGTGAGATAATCATATACTTTACAAATTGTTCCCCCAAATCAAGATTAGATGAAGCTGAGGATAGAATCAGTGATTTGGAAGACATGGTAGCAGAAAACACCCACTCAGAGCCGCAGAAATAAAAAAAAGAATCTAAGAAAATGAGGTAGAAGAACCAGTTGAGTCTTGAAGAACAAGCCTCAGGTCAGAGGTAGGTTAGGCAGCCACTGCGCCTGAGGTGCTGAGGTCAGAGTAAGGGGAGGAAATTCCAATGGGTTGCAAAGAATGGAAGCTTTAGCCCTGGCCGTGTGGCTTAGTTGGCTGGGTGTGGTCCCATGCACCAAAAGGCTACTCGTTCGATTCCTCGTCAGGGCACATGCCCGAGTTTCTGGCTCGATCCCTGGTAGGGGGCATGCAGGAGGTAGTCTGATCGATGTTCCACCCTCCCATCCGGATCTTTCCCTCTCCCTCTCCCTTTCTCTGTCTCTAAAAATCAACAAAAATATGTATAAAAAGGAATGGAAGTTTTAGGCATCTGTAAACCTGTCTGGTGGGGTGGGGTGGGCAAGCTGCCCCCCGATTGGCACACCGATTGACACACCGCGTAGGGGAGCGGCCGTCCAAGCACAGAAGGAGCATCTGATGCAGCTCAGAGCAGCTGCAGGTTCTCTTGGAGCATCTGAGAGCTTCTAAGTCATCCTTCAAGTTGACATTTAAGACTTTGAGGATCACATTTGTTTCTGTTTTGTTCAAGCAGTCTCTTTAACCGTGGCCTGGGATGACTTTTCAGCTTTTAAGAGGCTCAGCCAGTGGCCAGCATGTCTTGAGATGGCCCAGATTGGGGGTCAGTGAATTCCTCACCGCTGGCAGTATCTATTTCTCCAGCTCTCTCCTCACATTTTTTTGGTTTGTTTGTTTTTTGCCTCATTACGAGGTTATAAAACTGTGCCGTCGAAATGTTGCGCAGGGAGGAAATGCCTTTTCTTTGGCCCCGTGTATCACGCCAGAGCTGTGCGAGGCTTTCACACTGTGGCGATTAGCAGGTGTCATGGGATTCTTTCTGGGCTTCCCCCTCCAAAAGCAAAGCAAAGAAAAAAACCTGGAAAAATAAACGTTGGGCAGTTCATCTCTGGCCGTAGAGGAGCTGACTGACTTGCAGGATGCCTCGGGCTCCGTGGGGAATGTTTCAGGACCAAGTGGACCAGGTGTGCGTTCTGACCCCACCAGGTCACAAGTGGTTCAGTCTCTCTGATTTTCTTCGTCCGCTAAATGAGAGCAGTAACTATCCTCACCTCCCAGGGTTGTTCTGAAGACGAGATGAAACA